GCCTCAGCGGGCCGCCGCGAAGCCCTTGTATGTGTTATTATCATCTCCCCTGGGACAGAACCTTGCCGCCGTGGTGGCGACCGAGGCCTCGTCGAGGGAAGCATGACGGGATGGCCCCCTCGGGATGGCGCGGATCCCGGAAGTGAAGCTGCCACCAGCGGTGCCTAGGCGCATACAACCGCGGCGTACAAGCACACAACTGGCAAGCCCCCAACAGACACTAAATGCCACCGCCGTGAGAGTGAAATGAACACACTAGACTACTGCATGTGCATTTGTATCCCTCGTGGGGCTGCCTCGGGACTCTCTCGTGTGTAAACAGGACACGGGAAACCACCAGGACTCGGAACTCGGGACCCTTGACCTCGGGTCGCCAACAAACCCTGGACGGCGAAGTGACAGACCCGTGGTTCACCAACCGAGAGAAATTTCCCGGTTTGTTCTTGGAGAGAGCGAGCGGAGCAATAAATCCGTTGTACTTTCGTGCTTTTGCAATTTCACCCAAAACCAGGTTCAATGATGAAGACGAAGCCACCGACTTCAATGCACCTCGAATCTTGACAAATCGACCCACCTCGCACGCCCTGTCACCTACCCTTCGGTCACATATCACACACGTCCTCGTCCTCTTCCCGAACAAACACCGCGCGACCACTGTTGCTGTAAGACACCTCCTCCTCCAAGACTTCGCGACACCACTCACCACCTGCCTGCCTTCGCGAGCTTCTAATCGAGACGAACAACCACACACACCGACGAGGGTGTACAAGCCACGGGTGAGCGGTTGTAAGGACCTTCTCGAAGCTCCCTCTACCGCCGTGGCACGGTAATTGCGGAGACGAGCGTGGTGAACCAGGGGTAGATATAACGATATACCAATTAATGATATCGCCATGTACCGTAGCACGACCTGACGCTCCGTTTGTTTAAAGTGGGGCGGGGCAAAAGATATATTGATCGAGGGTGACATCCGACGGCGGTTGTTCGACTCCCCACAGCGAAAAATATTACCGAAGGGCTTGTGTTGCATGTGTCATCTGGTGTCACCCATTTGAGCTTTCGCGTGCTCCATGTCCCACAGATCATCCGCTCGATCCAGTGTTCAACGGGGTTCTGAGAACGAGGATATAGCAAACGTAGAATAATCAGATCACACAGCAATGAGTTCCTATCACCACACAGGGTATAAAACTCGTCGAGTAAACAAACGTGGATCACGCGTGAACCTTCAATCCGGCTCTTGTTTATCTCCAAGAGTCCCGGCGGGAGAAACACAGTACACACGTGAATGTTCTGACAAATGTTGTGACCCACCACACTGCTACAGAAGAGGCTCCGCGCTGCAGATTTGTCATGAACATGTGGAAGAAAAAAGGGCACAGCACGGCGGTGGTGCATCGTACATGTGCTCGCACTTTTCTCCTCAAGTCGTGCGGTCTAGCTAAGTATTAATATTTGTAGCGACTTTATTTTCTGTGACCCGTTGACGCCTGTTGTACTTTCGTTTACGGTCGGGTGACGATGTTGGATATTTTTTGTCCCGCCTGTTTTGAGCTGGCCGTCGACATAGATTGCTGTACCTTCCCGCGATAAAAATACCTCAGGCAGGAACCGCAGGAGGGGATCCAGCCTCCCCCTCCTATGTGACCCCGGTTGGGTCGTCTAGCTAGTAGAAGTGGAGGATAGGGGCCAGAGGGGCATACGATAGTGTCCAATAATGGGAGAAAAAAAAAAAAGATAGATCCCCGACCACCATGCAAGAAGTCACACTGCCTACTACTATAGTGTTATTGCACCAACTTTGAAATGTGATCTCTCTCTAGCCCCCTTGTGCTTAACTATGTTCCAACTATTGCTAATGTTGTTTTGCATGGTAATTGTTCTGTACGTGGATACAATAGTGCGTTCACTTACCCTCCCGCCTGGCATTCGTCGTTCCGTCATCACAACTAACTGACAAATGCGGGAACGTTTTACAGCGGGAACAACATACAGTGTAGACTTTGCGATTCTCGACGTCACATCGCACTAAGCCCATAACCCCCAAACAATCTATGCGAGCCGGTATCTCATCATGTTGTTGTCATTCCCCCCACCCACGATGTCTCCGCCCGCTGCCTCGCTAATATTCAGGCTTTGTCCCAATCACAACGATCAACAACGACAACAACAGCGCCATGACTTCCGCCCACAAGCCCGACCTCTCCGGCCTGCCCGCCTTCAACGTCGCTGGCGGTCGCCCCGACGAGCGCTTCGGTACCAGGGGCTCCTTCACCCGCGGCGTGCACATCATGTCCGGTGGCCATGCCCGCGACGTACCGCTCGAGGCCGAGGTCGAGCACGGCAAGGTGCTCTTCGTGTCCGCCATCCACAAGCCGGACCTCTCCGCCGAGGCCCGCACCAACGCCGTCCGACCCATGGAGCGCCTCGGAGCCCGCGGCCGCTTCACGCCGGGGGGGCGTCGCTGGGCCGGTGGCGAGCCTCGCGACGTACCGCTCGAGGCCGAGGTCGACCACGGTAAGGTGCTCTTCGTGTCCGCCGCTCACAAGCCGGATCTCTCCGCCGAGGCCCGCACCAACGCCGTCCGCCCCACGGAGCGCCTCGGCTCCCGGGGCCGCTTCACCGCGGGCGTCCGTCGCTGGGCCGGTGGCGAGCCTCGTGACGTGCCGCTCCCGCGCGTACGCGACCCGGGTACCGTCCTGTTCGAGTCCGCCTCGGAACGCAGCAGGCCCTCCTTGTCCTTCTCGTGCGAGACCAACGTGTCCGGAGGCAGGGAGGACGAGCGCCACGGGCGGCTGGGATCGTTCAAGCACGGGGTTGTCGAGGCTCGGGGAGGGCCGCTGCAGGTTCAGGCGGCCTTCGCGCGCGAGGTGGAGAAGCTGTGGCACGAGGGCGGGCAGAAGGAGAACAAGTACCGCCGCTGCGGGCCCAGCCACTTCGTCGCCGGCGTGTCTATTCTGTCCGGCGGCATGCCAGTCTACTGAGAGCAAAGAATGGCTGCTGTTGCTACTGTACCGAGAGTATGAGGCGCTTGTCATGCTGTCGGCCTCATGCGTGCTTGGTCATTCACCAAAGGTTGCTCTTTGTTGGCACCGTGTTAAGCGTGTTTGGTCTTCCACCGGCACCAGCGCGAATTTACCGTTAGTTTCTTTTTTGAGAGAGGGGGAAATGTTGAGAGGGTTGCTATCCTCTCGGGTCGTTTAATTATGTCGATGGGTGCCCGTGGTGTGCTACATGTCGAGAGCACCACGTAGCGGCCGTAGACTTGGATTGTCGGTGTGAGCGAGAATGCTGTGTTGTGGCTCGTTCGTGACGAGCGTTCGAGGAGCAGAACAAGTTAAGAATGTCGTGGAGTTGTAGTTGATAGAATAATTGATAGATATAGTACCAGTAGGGGATACAACGAGGGGCACTGTTGTGGATGCAGTGCTTCACATCCATCATCCATACGATGAACTACTTGGGGGAATATGTTGTGGGCGTGAGAGGGTGATGTTTACTATAGAAATTATGTCCTCTGCTTGGTATATAAAGTCGTCAAGGGTAANCCCCCCCCCCGAATCAAACCGCTAGGGCGTGCAAAATATGAGTACCTTCCTTCCCAACCCCCTCCGTCACGGGATCCAAACGAGGCAGGGTTTTGGCGAATGGTGTTGTCGCCGCTAAGGGTTCGTGTGGTCGTGTCGGTGTCCTTTGCGGTGGTGAATGGGGTGCGGTGGTGGGGTTTGGCGTGAAGTGCATGCGGGGTTGTAAGTCTTGAATCCGAAAACAATGAAAGAATAGATGTGAACTCCACTGCCGTAGTTTGAGGTGTGCCTCTTTGCTGTTGTTTTGCGAGGGGGGGGTGTTCGAAAAGGGGGGTACCCCGTGGCGCGAAGACAGAGAAAAGATAGCTGGAGATGCAGATGCGTTGAAAACATCCAGGAATAGAGTTGGCGTGAATGAAAGTAAAAAAGTTGAAGACAAAATATGAAAGGCCTATTTTTTCGCATGGGGCCCTCCTTGTGCGACGACACCCTACTACCTGTCTGGGTTGAGGGATTTCTGGTGGTGGGCGCGCACGCACGATCGTTTTGTGCTGTGATATCGAGTCCGCAAGTATAACAACACCACATTCGGTCTGACACCCCGCAAGCGAGGTGGCATTCATTCATTCATTCCTCCATGCGCATGTATGGAACCGCCATATTACCGTAGACGGCCAACGGATACAAATATTATGCTGATTTTGTCAATCTTTTACCATATGGACTATATAGATCAATTGGAATAGAGTGCTCAGCTCGCCCAGCTCCAGCGCAGCCAAGCGGGGAGATTGGACCATATCTACCGCGGCCCCTGGTCAAATATCAACATGTCATTGTCGGGCCTTCGCGCGGTCCACGTAAGAATTCCGAACGAAATTTTATCGCCTTCGCGGTATCGACGAAATTACATACATGTAGTCCATCCACCCCCCTTCAATTCACGATGTCATTATCGACCCTTCGCGTGGCCCGTGCAAGAATTCCAAACGAGATATCCTCTTCGCGGTAACGACGAGGAAACAAAGTCACCGCCTTGCGACTTCCCTACTGCGGGCCTCGATCGAGAGTTACCCCATCACCGCGAAGAACGCCTGATAATCCCAGAGAATCTCCTCTGGAGAGAACTGTGTTGTTCATTTCTTGAAGCGAATCCCGCGTCTCGTTCGACGAGCTTCCGCGGATAGCGTCGAGTTTCGTCACTCCATCATTTCGTTGTCGGCTGGTGGTTAGTCTACTTATTATATTTTTTGCAAAACGCAAACGCTTCGGTCCGTCCCTTCTGCGCCAAACACATTTTTCGCAGAACAACAGCAGTGTTGGAGGAAAGTAGGAGTAGTAGTAGTAGTGCGGACCTTGGATACACCTCAATCTATCGATCTGGGACGACGACTACTACAGTATTCGCTGTTGTTACCGATGTGTTGCAGATTCAGGTGGGTCCACGCCAGAACCTGTCCTGTCTGTATTGTGTGTGTTGGAAGACTGGAACTAACTGAAAACAATTTTCACGCAGTGCCCACGCACTCACGTGGTTTTGCAGGCACACAGGAGCCAAATACATCGATCGATGGATAGCTGATTGATAACAGCCTGCTAGTATGTGTGTGCACGCTGTTGAGATGCTTAGATTTTCTCTGGATGTACGAGGAGAAAGCTCCCGCTGGAATATTTGTTGTGTGCGAAACGCAAAAATATGAACGCCTTTTTTGAGGCACGCAAAGAACTTACCCGGCGAAGTTGAACTCGACGTCCTCCGCCGTTTGCACGCCCAATCAATGAGACGCGCGATTCTTTTCAAATGCCCAGTCCAGCGGAAATGGGTACCGGTACAATTCAATTACAATTGCGCAAGGAGGACCCATCTGAAAAACTAGTATATTTGGAAGTAATTTTGTTTTGTCTTTCGCTCTACACCCGCTCACGCCAAACCCATTCAATTCCTGGACATTTCTACGTATCTCCCTCTCTCCTCTAACCATGTGCGTGTCATGGCGTTCCCCCCGGTTACAACACCCCCTCGTAAAACAACAGCAAAGAGGCACGCCTAGACTAAAGCAGCAGTAGAGTCTACACCTTTCTAATCATCTTTCTCCGACTAACTTGTTTCTCGAAATGAAAAAATACCCAAGTAACGCCATGCACGTCGCGTCAACACCCACCACCGTACCCCCATTCATCACTGAAACAACAAACACCGACACAAATACCACACGAAACCTTAGTGGCGACAATAGTATTAGCCGAGAATCTCTTGTACCCCAATTCAGTACTGGATCCCTCGCCGGAGGGTGTCGATGGGGGGGGTGGGGGTGCACGGACGAACAACAACATCTTTCGCTCCCCTTGAGACACCCAACCACTTCATATAACATCATATCGAACACAGGTCATCACTTCTAATCATCCCTTGCCACACAACAACACATCATTAGTCCAAAGCAGTTTGTTCATCGCATGGATGATGGATGTGAAGCACTGCATCCACAACAGTGCCCCTCGTATCCCCTACTAGACTAGTACTATTTCTATCAATTGTTCTATCGATTACAACACCACGGACTTCTCTATTGTTCGACTCCTCCAACACTCGTCACGAACAAGTCATGAACAACGTTCATTCAAGCCGACCATCATGGTCCTGGAACGTATGACCCCGAGCGACGACGAGCAGTCAGTGCTGCCGCCGTGCTTTGAAAATACCCATTCGTTGCACGTACATATGCATTGATACACAAATCATCTACTCTGCACTTCCTACACCTACCCGGCGGTACGAGGCAAGCCGCACAGAACCACAACCCCGCCGCCGCTGCGTGGTGCTCTCGACATGTAGCACACCACGGGCACCCATCGACATAATTAAACGACCCGAGAGGATAGCAACCCTCTCAACATTTCCCCCTCTCTCAAAAAAGAAACTAACGGTAAATTCGCGCTGGTGCCGGTGGAAGACCAAACACGCTTAACACGGTGCCAACAAAGAGCAACCTTTGGTGAATGACCAAGCACGCATGAGGCCGACAGCATGACAAGCGCCTCATACTCTCGGTACAGTAGCAACAGCAGCCATTCTTTGCTCTCAGTAGACTGGCATGCCGCCGGACAGAATAGACACGCCGGCGACGAAGTGGCTGGGCCCGCAGCGGCGGTACTTGTTCTCCTTCTGCCCGCCCTCGTGCCACAGCTTCTCCACCTCGTGCGCCAAGGCCGCCTGAACCTGCAGCGGCCCTCCCCGAGCCTCGACAACCCCGTGCTCGAACGATCCCAGCCGCCCGTGGCGCTCGTCCTCCCTGCCTCCGGACACGTTGGTCTCGCCCGAGAAGGACAAGGAGGGCCTGCTACGTTCCGAGGCGGACTCGAACAGGACGGTACCCGGGTCGCGTACGCGCGAGAGCGGCACGTCACGAGGCTCGCCACCGGCCCAGCGACGGACGCCCGCGGTGAAGCGGCCCCGGGAGCCGAGGCGCTCCGTGGGGCGGACGGCGTTGGTGCGGGCCTCGGCGGAGAGATCCGGCTTGTGGGCGGCGGACACGAAGAGCACCTTACCGTGGTCGACCTCGGCCTCGAGCGGTACGTCGCGAGGCTTGCCACCGGCCCAGCGACGCCCCCCCGGCGTGAAGCAGCCGCGGGCTCCGAGGCGCTCCATGGGTCGGACGGCGTTGGTGCGGGCCTCGGCGGAGAGGTCCGGCTTGTGGATGGCGGACACGAAGAGCACCTTGCCGTGCTCGACCTCGGCCTCGAGCGGTACGTCGCGAGCATGGCCACCGGACATGATGTGCACGCCGCGGGTGAAGGAGCCCCTGGTACCGAAGCGCTCGTCGGGACGACCGCCAGCGACGTTGAAGGCGGGCAGGCCGGAGAGGTCGGGCTTGTGGGCGGAAGTCATGGCGCTGTTGTTGTCGTTGTTGATCGTTGTGATTGGGACAAAGCCTGAATATTAGCGAGGCAGCGGGCGGAGACATCGTGGGTGGGGGGAATGACAACAACATGATGAGATACCGGCTCGCATAGATTGTTTGGGGGTTATGGGCTTAGTGCGATGTGACGTCGAGAATCGCAAAGTGTACACTGTATGTTGTTCCCGCTGTAAAACGTTCACGCAATTGTCAAGTTGTGATGACGGAACGACGAATGCCAGGCGGGAGGGTAAGTGAGCGCACTATTGTATCCACGTACAGAACAATTGCCGTGCAAACGTTGGAAATACTTAACACAATGGAAGCACAAGGGGGCTGGAGGTGGCGAACAATTCAAAGCTGGTGCAACAATTAACAGTAGGAAGTGTGACTTCTTCCTCAAGGAGTGCGGAGCTGAGCATGCATGGTATGGTGTGGGGGAACTACCGTACAAGGCGGAGAGATGGCACCAGAGTTCGCAGAGAAAATCAAGAACGGCATGAGATATTTCGATTCCGCACCGATCGCACCGTGTGCGATTTCGTCGACCCCCAAACCCAAGTTTGGGCTCTTTTTGAGCTGCTTTTTGCATGTGTGCGGACGGTGTCATCGGAGCGCCACTTCTTCATGTATGTAGTCGTATGTACAATCGGTCGCGGCTCACGCAGATTGTCTGTCATTTGTTGTTGTGTCTTCGGAATGGAAGTTGCCAACCGTACACGCACTGAGTTAACCAAGCACACCACATACAAGCCGCTCCCTTCACCCCACCAATACAACAATTTCAAATGAGCTGCTGCGCGCAGAGGAAAACCGAAACGAAAGCGGGAGAGAACCGGCTGCCGTATGAAGCAGTACTAGACTACTGCTGTGTACTCCACATAAAAACAACACCATTCGGTTGTTACCCTTGGCACGCCGTAGTCGAACTCGCATTCAAGCCATGACCACCCACTGCGTGGTAAACAACTACGTCGTAGGTTCCAACCTACGTTGCCGTTTGCCGGTGTGCTCCCAGCCAGCAACAACGGTGCCTACACCGCGCACATCTGCTTGTAGGTAGATACGCCATCGTATTGGTACTGAGAAGAGACGGACAGATGGCACGGGTCGGGAAAATAGTGCGTGCATACAACACCGCCGAGTACCAGCAGGCCCGCTGTGTGTATTTTCGTTGCGCATCGCACCGGTGTGCCTTGGAAAAGCGAATCCAAATGTTTTCGAATTGCATGCCCGCACCGACCGGTGTCGGAGAGATGGCACCATCGGCGTGCAAAAAAAAACGGGAAAAAAAACGATGTACTAGACGCACCCAGTGACATCTTTTCGCCTTTCACGGTATCCCATATCGACGGCCAGCTAGGTGAGGGAAAGACGTGAGACAGGGCCAGACCACACGGCCGGAAACGAAAGTACAACAGAAAATAATTGATATGTTGTCATATATTTAGCTGGACTACACAACGAGGAACGAATAGGAAGCACACGACAAGCACGGCCGCCGGGTTGTGCCCTTTCCTCTTTTGTTCATGGCAAATCTGCGAGCGTGGCGCCTCTATATTGAACGGTATAGCAGTGTGGTGGGCCAAGCATGAGTCGGGGAACATCGCGCGTGTGTCTGTGTTTCTCCGCCTGGGACTCTTCGAGAAAAACAAGAGCCGGATTGGAGGTTCAATGGTTGAATGTTGAAGAGAGACCACGCAATCAGTATAATACCACCTGATCGACGATGTAAATTGCACCGAGCTCTCGTGGTCTGATCATTCTGTACATTACATATCCTCGATCTTAGAGCGCCCACGATCACGGGATCGGGCGGGTGCTCTGTGGGAGATAGAGCACGGCAGTTCGCCTGTTTCTCCTCGACCATCACATGAAAATGGGTGATGGATGTGACACACGATCTTCTCTACCGCGGAGCGGAGAGTCGAACAACCGCCGTCGGATGTCACCCCCCATCATATCTTTAGCCCGCTCGAAACAATCGGAGCGGGCGGGCCGTATCGCCACACTCGTCGACGCAACTACCGTGCCACGGCGGCAAACGGAGAGAGGCTACGAGAAGGTCCTTCACAACAACCGCTCTCACCTCTGGTTGTTTGTACGAACTCGTCGCTGTGTGTGGTGGTGGTGTTCGTTCGTCTCGATCGGAAGCTCGCGAAGGCAGGTGGTGGGTGTTGGTGTCGCGGGGTCTTGGAGGAGAAGGTATCTTGCAGCAGCAGTGGTCGCGAGGTGTTTGTCAGGGAAGGGAACGAGGACGTGTGTGTGTGAGATGTGAGTGTGTGAGAGATGTGAGCGAAGCGCGCGTTCGAGGTGGGTTGGATTTCAGTCGGTGCAACCATCCTAGTCATCGAACCTGGTGTTTCGATGAAATTGCAAAAGTACGAAAGTACAACGGATTTTTGCTCTGCTCGCTCTCTCACAAGAACAATAACCGGGAAATTTATCTTGGCGAAGCATATTCTAGTTGGTGAACCACGGGACTGTCACTTCGCCGCGTTTGTTGGCGACCCGAGCTCAAGGGTCCCAAGTCCGGAGTCCCGAGTCCTGGTGGTTCCCCGTGTCCTGTTTACACACAAGCGTGTCCCGGTACTACAAATAAGGAGGGGAGAGCCGCGGGGTAGGACTCAATACCTTAGTCTATATGCGATGATTCTGGTGTGGCTCGGCCGCTTTTTCGGTACAACTGCTGTCAGTATAATACTGCTGTCGCAAAAGTCAGACTCAAGCTAGATGCGTCTCACCTGTACAGACATGGCAACCTTATCTTTCTGTGGCGTATCTAACTGTAGATCAGTCAAGCAGTGTCTCACGGCTCTAAAAGACAAGTTCGCGGTATCCAACAGCACCCAAGATAGCATCCTCACAACAAGCTCAACATCAGCATAATATCAATCAGGTTCAGCACTCACAGTGAGCGATAAGCACTGGTGGGCAAAGGCACAACGATATGGCTCAATTGACATATTACTTCAAGGGCGGCGTTAAGTAAACGCCTTGGGTGATCGAACAACCACCAAGAGGGGTCCATAGCAGGGTGGATCGGGGGAACATCATGATCTGTTCAGTTCCTTCACCGACGATGTCAGCCTGCGCCCTCCGAATACTCGCGACAATAGCGAAGTATTCATCATCGTATTTACTCATCGTATTTACACAACCAAACAGTGAGACCGGCTGGAACAATTTACATTGATGCAAAAGAACATCCATGCGAAAATATTGTAATTAGTCATTTATTTGTGTTGTCTTCCACGTTGTTAGGTGTCCACGTTACTCCTTACTCTCCTCCCACTCACGCCACACTTAACCTGTTCTTAGATGTTTCGTAAATACAATGGATATCTCCCTCCATCCTCCTCTAACAGTGCGCTCCATGGCGCACCTCTCCTATGAACACCCCGTCGCTAAACAACAGCATAGAGGCACGCCTATTCTGCGGCAGTGCATGCACGCTTTTCTATGTTGTCGGAGTGAACAAATATCCTCCAAGTCACGCCATGCACGTTATGTTAAAACCCATCACCTTACCCTCATTATCATTCATTGGAACAGGCACCTGTAGGACTACCACGCAAAGTCCTTTGCGGTGACAATACCATTCGCCTAACCCCCATTTGGATGACGAACCTGCTCTCTACATGTAGCACACAAGAAGCACCCATCGACATAATTAAACGACCCGAAAGATGGCAACCTTCTCAACGCCCAGTGCTCCCCCTCCCCCCCCGCTCAAGAAAGATATGAACGGTAAATTCGCGCTGGTGCCGGTGGAAGACCAAACACAACCGAGCAACCTTTGGTGACCCGACCGACGAAGCATGTATGCATGAGGCCGACAGCATGACAAGCGCCTCATACTCTCGGTACAGTAGCAACAGCAGCCATTCTTTGCTCTCAGTAGACCGGCATGCCACCAGACAGAATAGACACGCCGGCGACGAAGTGGTTGGGCCCGCAGTGGCGGTACTTGTTCTCCTTCTGCCCGCCCTCGTGCCACAGCTTCTCCACCTCGCGCGCCAAGGCCGCCTGAACCTGCAGCAGCCCACCCCGAGTCTCGACGACCCCGTGCTCGAACGATCCCAGCCGCCCGTGGCGCTCGTCCTCCCTGCCTCCGGACACGTTGGTCTCGCCCGAGAAGGACAAGGAGGGCCTGCTACGTTCCGAGGCGGACTCGAACAGGACGGTACCCGGGTCGCGCACGCGCGGGAGCGGCACGTCGCGAGGGTCACCACCGGCCCAGTGACGGACGCCCACGGTGAAGCAGCCCCGGGAGCCGAGGCGCTCCGTGGGGCGGACGGCGTTGGTGCGGGCCTCGGCGGAGAGATCCGGCTTGTGGGCGGCGGACACGAAGAGCACCTTACCGTGGTCGACCTCGGCCTCGAGCGGGGCGTCCCGCGCGTGGCTACCGGACATGATGCGCACGCCGCGGGTGAAGGATCCCCTGGTACCGAAGCGCTCGTCGGGGCGACCGCCAGCGACGTTGAAGGTGGGCAGGCCGGAGAGGTCGGGCTTGTGGACGGAAGTCATGGCGCTGTTGTTGTCGTTGTTGATCGTTGTGATTGGGACGAAGCCTGAATATTAGCAGGCAGCGGGCGGAGGCAATCGCGGCGGGGGGGAGGGTACTCTTATGTTTTGCGTGCCTTAGCGGGTTGACCATTGACCACGCGTCCTCGAGAGGACGGAGCATTGTTCCCACGGCACCGATCACCGATGGCCAATCGTTCCTTCCTACATTGCCAATGGTGACTCAAAAATGTCTTCCCTACATAGTCTATCTATCCTATCGATATCACTTCCCGCCTTTCAACCCACTTCTTATACCCCAGTACGGCTACCGTATTTTCCTGGCTATTCTATGCCAGACACATCTCCCTGTGTGCCTTTCTTCTATCTTTCCCAGTTCAGTCATGTACGCTTCCCTCTCCTTCTTGTACAACGAACACTCTGCAACTACATGAACCCGGTCTTCGCACTCGGCGTCGCAATCACATTTTAACTTGTTGTCTTCATCGTCTACCTTCCGAAATCTTCGTCTACGGGGGGGGGGGGTACTCAAAGTCGTGCATGCCGTAGTCGTTAGACCATTGACCTCGCATCCCTACAAAGCCGGGACGGAGCACGCCGGGTTCTCACCGGACCAGGCTCTCACATCACCAAGCGCGAAGCGCCGTGAGATATTCGGCGAGTCGCATGAAGGGTGCGCTGCATCCTGCTAAGGGTTTTCGGCATCTTGTGCTTACTTCCTTGCGTACGGATGACAGCTGCGTATGACTTAATTTATTTTCTGGTGCTTTCACTTCCAGAGACAGTTGTAAGCACTGTGTAACTGCCTCGAGGGTGCTTGACCATTTTAACACAACGTGGTGCGATCATCCCCCTTGCGCGGAGTGAGGGTTCTCCACCCCGCACAACATGATCTACTCGACCACCATTATGGTTACCGCCAAAAAAAAAACGGAGGTAAAAAAACAAACGGTAACCTGGTTGCCGAGTTCACGAGGTGAATTGGCTTGTTTTACAACGTCGTTGCCAAGCGACGAAACCCAATCCCGATGGCAAACACCGGGGGGGGAGGTAGACGGGGGGGAGGACAACAAAATGATAAGATACTTGCTCGTGTCGAAACCAGCGTTGATTATTTTGTAGGGTTCTTCGTAGGGGTATTGATGCACACACAGCCTCTTGTGTGACCGTAGATGGTTGTTGCAGTTCGAAAAAATACAACGAAAAGTGTAGTGCTCTACGACACTAAAGAGTGTAGTAGTACACGTCTCACCACGAAAAATGGGGGGACTGTCGCCATGATAAGCACTACTAGTACTTAGGACGAAAACACAAGACACACACAATAACCAGTAAACATCTAGAGCCTACTACGTCGAGGACAGGTGTAGAGATGTTGTAACCACACATGGTTGCACATTAGTCTACATACATACAACCGTAGGAAGGTAACATCTTCTGAGGAGACAATATTATTGCTGATGGTTGAACAGCAAGAGACCCGACTGACCATGGATACGACCCTTTCAGCGCCACCTGCGGAAATGAAAATGACGGGCCTTCGCTCCTCCCTACCCCCTCCCCTCCGAGAATATTCTCTCTTTTCTGAGACCTCCTTTATGCCAAACCTCAAGACAGAGCGCTGCCAGCCCCCGTCAGTGGGAAAAAGACTACTGCGACCTGGGTATCCTTCCACCGAGGGAGGCCTGTGTGGTGTCCTTACTGGCGTCGACGAAGTTGACTGCTTTTGGTGTACGAAAACATTCACCCACGCTTGTCGCCATCCAGATGAATCTCGAAGATGGGAACGAAAGGTGTCCACAACGGCGCACTCTCACTTTCACCCTTTCTTGAATCTAGCAAATCCGAGAGTACCTCGGCCAAGCTTGGCTATTTTACTCGCCGCATGTATACATCAAGAGAAAAAAATACCTCCACTCGTGAATGGCTAATCATTGCTTCAGGGACTCTGACTCGCTCGGTAGAGTGAGAAAGGAAGGGTAGTATCAATCGAAATGCTTATTGAGGGATGGTGGGCTTAGCGTGACGTGGGGCGTGAGACCGCTTGTTGTCTGCTTCTTCCCCCCCTGAAAAACGTTCGCGCAATTTCGGTTGTTGTTGTGATGATGCCAAGGGGCACGCACGCGCATTGAAACAAATAATAAATATATGCCGTGCAAACACTATTTTTTGGCATTTACTTGAATGTGTATGCACAAGGGGGAGGTGAGGGATACCTGCGGAAACAATAATACAGGCCCACCCCGGGTGTAACTGTAGCCAGTTTAGTAGACTTCTCACTCACGCGGTCAGTCAGTGATGTGGAGTTGAGCATATTATGGATCGGGGAACTTTCTATCTACTACTACGTAAACGGCCAGCTCGGTGAGGGGAAAACACGAGGCAGGCGGGACAAAAGAAAAGGAGAACATCACCACACGAACGACCGGAAACAAACGAAAGTGCAACAGGCGGCGTAACGGGTCACAGAAAATATCGAATTTTCTTAATCTCCACCAGGAGAGTAGACGAAAACAATCAATCAATTATTATCGCACACTGAAAATCTGCCTCCCGTTCTACCCTTTCTATTTGTGTTCAAAAATAAATCTGCAAGCGAGTACAAACAAAGCCTCTAGCAGTCAGTGCAAAATGGGCCAGAACGAGGCCGAACATCACGCGTGGCTTGTTTGTATTTATTTCTCCTCCCGGGATTCTTGGAGATAAACAAGAGCCGCGGATTCGAAGGTACAATGGTTATAATGTGCACAAGGACAGAGATGCCGTATTCCACGTTGTTGTTTGTTTTTTGTTTGCAGTTATTCGACGTATTTACCGTGACCTAACTTGTTGCGTGTGGTCTGATCATACAACACATAATAGTAGCACTGCTATGTCCTCGATCTATCTTAGAACGTCGTCGAACACTGGATGGATCGGGTGGGTGCTCCGCGGGGAAATGAGCACGGCAGCTCGTCTGTTTTCCTCCTCGACCAACCCGTATAGACTAATTCATTTACAATGTGTTTTTCCGCCAGTAGCCTACGCGCACAGTGTTTCCTTCAAGTAACCATACATTCCGTGTCATGTTATAGATAAAGCACATAGCATTGGAGAAGTTGGGTGAGGGTTCTCTAGGGTTAGGGATGGGGTCTGCGGACGTACACCCTCCCTGTTCTATTCGTCATCGCGAATAAGGCGGTCCTTTACCGCGGGGAATCGAACAACCGCCGACGGATGCCACCCCTCATCATATCTATCTTAAGTCCACTTGGAACAATCGGAACGGGCAGGCCGTGCTATCGTACATGGCGATTTTGATTGATAGACTACCGCGTGATGCCTGCCCCTGGTTCGCCACGCCCACATCGCCGCGATTACCGTGCCACGGCGGCAAAGGGAGAGAGGCTACACGAGCGGGGAAGGTCCTTACAACCGCTCACCTCTGGCTGTTTGTACGAACTCACTCGTCGGTGTGTGTGGTGGTGTTCGTTCGTCTCGATTGGAAGCTCGCGAAGGCAGGTGGTAGTACGCGGTTGGTGTCGCGGAGGCTTGGAGGAGAAGGTGTCTTGCAGCAGCATTGGGCGCGAGGTGTTTGTCAGGGGAGGGGACGAGGACGAGTGTGAGATGTGAGCGAGGGTGCGTGTGGTTTGGATTTGTTAAGAAATATAATGGATGGGTTTTATTCGGTGCAATCGTCCTCTAGGCCAGTCGTTGTTGCCGTTGAACTTGTAGTTGTCGAGTTTGGGGTGAAATCTTAAAAGAATGGAAAAAATAAGAGCGTCATGGATAGTCATCGTCGTGTCATATTAAGAAAAATATACTTCGTTAATACGCGCTCAATTTATATAGGTCCGCGCTGCAAGTACATTCTACAAGCTTTTGATCTGCAAATAGAACAGTTGAGTGGGGACCTAATGCACTACACGGCATTCATCACAGAAGAACAGTTAGTTGAGTGGGGACCTAATGCACTACACGGCATTCATTGTTATTGCGGACTAACCACAGTCTTCTTGTGGGAATCACAACTATTATATAGATAGCTGATCACAACAGAAGAGTAGACCCGATGCATTTCTTTCGCTGTCAAGTAATTGCAGGGGAAACGACACAACGGAGTACATCTGCATTTCCTGGTCGAAAAGCGTGAAATGAACCCAGATTATGACTGACTGACTGTGGTCAACGCCCACTTTTAACCCACCGCATCCTGAAAAGAGTATTTCGGAAAAATATCGTATGTACCTGACCTGACAGGAAACGAATATTACCAGATGTGTTACAAGTGTAGGGATAGGAAATGGTGTGAAAATGTACATTTCTGCTGGATCCCCGCCTTCCAGAGCGGTCCGTCGGGTGAATGGATGTTAGGTACCACGTCATCATCCCGCGTTGAAGTTTGTCCGTTTGTAGTTCAGATGAACCGAGTGTATTTTCTTTTATACAGATAGCGGAGGCACTTAAGAACTTAGCAGTTAAGATATTGAGACTCGCAAAAAATCAGAAGCTAAGAACTTGAGCACCATTTGTGAGCTCGGTTAAGAACCCCACACGAAAACCTATGTAGCGGCCATTTGTAGCCCGGAAGAGGATGATCAGCAAAAAAATTAGAACCCCAGCCTCGGCCGAAACTAGAGGTTCTCAAGTGCGGGCGCCATCTGTAATGACCATCCACCCAACACCATGCGGTTCCGCTCCCAACACGCAGTGCCTCCCGTTCTCCTTGCCACTGTCCGCCCGCACGAAAGAGCAAACAATAGGTAGGTATAGACTATAGGGAGAGGTCGTCGGCAACAAATCTCCAAACCGACCCAACCCTTGAGTGGTATCATTGAACGGCTTAGACTAGATTCTTGCGACAGAAAAATTGCACATGAATCCCGTGACAGAAACTGGGACTGATTTTTCTCTACACATACGCTAATATAATCAATCCCGGGCCTTTCGCCATTTTACTTAGCGTTGAACTCGCGTGGCCAAAATAAACGCTCTTACGGCTTGCCACGTGGACTTGATGGAAC